ATTTATATTTATATTTATATTTATATTTATATTTATTGATGTATAGATACATATGTACAATACGTGTGATTTGAAAATATTTATTTGTTATTATGTCGTTAGTAAATTATGTAAACAAAATTTATGTAAGATCTTGTTAAAAGTAATTGTAAACAAAAACAACAAGTTTTTTTTTCTTTACTCTTAATGTAACAAATATATAGTGCATAATGTCAGCTTAAGTGTAATGTTCCCAAGAGGGCTAACATATTTATTGCTGTTCAATAGAAATTTTATTGATTATAATAACGCCTAAATTTTTAAAGGTTTTATGTCAACAGGCGACGATGTGATTCCTGGTAACAATGGTTTGTGGGATCAAATCTATGCTCTAAAATGGGTTCAGGTAAATTTTTTTTTCTTGATTTTTTTTTGCTTTTACCTGCTTTACTTTTCTAGGCATTCAGAACGGCCTAAAATAAGGATTTGCTTTGAGAGGCTATGTTGAATGCACAGTGCACTAAATTACAGTTTCTCTGTGCTGGTTAATGGAAATGTAAAACCAACATGTTTACAGGCGATCAGTAGTAGGAAATAGTTTTAATGCGTCACTGAGACGTAAAAAGCTTTTTCAGTTCACTATTTACTTAATTGAGGTTTTTTCAAATAAAGCATTTTTTTTGTTCTCAATGCAAGAAATGAAAACACTGTTCTTTTTTAGAAAAATGCTCATGTTTTTGGAGGTGATTCAAATAATGTAGTGCTAATGGGTCACGGAAGTGGTGCAGCATCTGCATCTATACTTGCATTATCGCCTAGAGCTGAAGGTTTGTATTTTGGTTTTTAGTACTGGTTTGGATCAGCAATCTGTTGTTAATAATTGAGGCGATTTTTTCGTTAATGTGAGTTTTGTTTAGTGTTCACAGAGCTATACAAATTCAATCTACTGCAGAGCCAGCGTCGTTGAAAGTTGTGAAAACAGCTATTATACGATTTTTTAGACAACTACTTTTAGGTCTTTTCCACCGTATAGTGCTAATGAGCGGCACGGCATTAACACCAGGAATGATACGTAATTCTGCAGTCAATGCCACCTGGAATCTTGATCGAAAGCTACATTGTCGATCTTTCAATTCTAGCGAATTGCTTCAGTGCTTCAGAAAACAACTAGAAAAAGAAATCATTGACGCTGTGGTAAAAATTTTAAAGCATACTGTAGTTTCATTCAAACTCATAACAGTACGAAAAATCAGGCTCTTTTGACTCTTCAAGCTTTTCATTGCAAATAATTACTGAGGACTAAAAATTTACACTAAGAATAAAATTGCTTCTTAACTCCTCTTGCATTCAAAAGAGTTTTCAAATTAATTTTCAGAATTGACTTTTGTTAGCTATGTGTTTCTAGGTCTTTACCTATTTGGCCACTGTTCCTTATCGTTTAGCGTGTGACAGTTTAAATTTTTGTTGTTAATAAGTTGTTTACCAGCTTCCTAGTTCCAAAAAATAGGATTTTCACCAGTAATAACTTGGATTAAGTTTTTGAGAATTTTGCCATATTATGACACGAATTTGGAAGGTGAAGCTTGATTTTACCTGAGCTTTTCTAAAAAGTTACTATTTCAAAAGATAAATCAATAGATCATACCGAGCTTGTCGTCATTGTAAGTTTAGACATAGCTTCTTCGTTACCACTTTTTTACAAAATGTGGAATAAGACAAATCTCAAAATCTTATTACTTGTTTCAATACCGATTGCACTGTACAGGGTGCAATTCAGTGCTTTACACTGCAGCATTTAAAAAAACAATCATAAAACTTGGATATTTGCTGCTTTTTTTCAAAAAAATAGATTATTGGCTTCTTTTAACAAAAAAACTATGCATATCTTTTTCCTTTGTAATCAAACAGAAAGAAACATCTTTGAGCTTGTTTAATGCAACGTGTAAGCATGATATTTTTTACCACGTCATTATTTTCTAATGTACATTTTAATTAAACTTCAATTTGAAAATTGCTTATAGATTTGGAAGTGTGCTTGCGGCACTAATTAAAAGCATAAAAAAAATAAAAAATTTTACTTTTGTCAGGATTCAAGCAACAACGACTACGAAGAGTTTGTGCCAGTCGTTGACGGTAAAGGGGGTATAATACCAGAAACTGCCGAAATGCTTATAACTTATAGGCCCAAAGTTCCATTAATGCTTGGTACAACAAGAGACGAAAGCGCTTTAAAACTAGGTTTTTTTTTAAAGACTGTCACTTTCGTAGTTATTAGCTAGCGTAAAAAAAATTAACTACATTAAATGAGATGATGAGTTAAGGCAAATTGAGCATTGTAGTATAGTTGTTTCACCAGGATGTCTATTTAAACTTTCACACATCAGTTGATTAAAATTTGATTTGTTTAGTGATATTGAACGAAAAGAATATGAATGAAAGTGGGATGACGGAAAGTGCTGCAGAAACGCTGGTGCAAAACTTGACAGATTCTTTTTCGTTTTTTAAAAATAATCGACTAATAACTCAAGGGTGTATGCACGAGTATATATGGAAAAAAGTGAGCCCAGCTTTTGAGACTTCGGTATTATTCAATTCTATATTAGAGGTTTGTATTTTTCACTTTATTAAATTATTAAGCAACAATTCTATTACCTAAAATGGCTTAGAGCTGCTAAAACTGTGTTCCTGCTAAAACTGTTTCTTTTTTCTTTCACTTATCTATGTTAAAGAGTGGCAAGCAAAACTTTTTTAGCGGGTTTTTTGGAGTCGCAACAGCAGATACTTTTAATCTTTAGCACTATCTTACAAAACTTTTGGATATTTTTGATTCTTTTTGATAGAGTAGTTATAAAAACTCGTGGTACAAATTATATGAAGATCTTGTAGTTGTCAAAAAGTGGTAGAAGACTAGTTAAAAACATGAAATGAATAGTCGTTATGAATTAGATTAGAGAAGCTTCTTTGAGCTTATTCTCTCCAATTTTTTCTGAAAAAGAGGATTTCAAATTAAGCAAAAGTGTCAGTCGCCAATTTTTTATATTTGGGAACTACAGTTGAAAAAGATGCTTGTTTTGACTGTACCAAATACGATAGAATTTTTAGTAGGACCATTGAGGTGTACAAAATCTGTTTTTCGTAGCTATGAATTGTGCTCTCAAGTTCAAGTTAAAATTATTTTGAGCGTAACATTTTCCTTAATTATGATAACTCACATTCTGATTTTAGCTTTTGCTTTCATAACTTAGTCTTAATAAGTACATTTAATTTAACCTAAAAAATGAAATTGTACAGTTATTGCGTTGGCTGTATCTATTTTTATGGAATATTAACTTTTCAGATGTTTTCACATTTTTGGTATGATGCTCCAGCATCACGACTCGCCACCTATTATGCTCGTGACGTACCTGTATATTTATATTCATTTGATCATATTAGTGAAAATTTAGATTACGACAGTAAGTCTAGCACTCTTTACTGTTTCCCATATAATCTCGAAAGTTTCTTTAAATTACAAAAAGTAGTTGCGAACATTTTTTTGCTATGTTAGTTGAATTGCCCACGTGTGATAATTTGTGTTCATTTTTGGTTATCAAGAAATGTGTAAAACATATTTTACAGGAGCGTTTCATGGTTGTGACCAAATATTTCTTTTTGAATATGAACCAAGGTTTTTGTCGAAAAGGAGTGACCGGAATTGGCAATTGGATAGGAGGTTAACAGAAATTTTTTCGGAACTTATCGTCAATTTCGCCAAATTTGGGTTTGTTACAGCTTTATTTATAGCTAACTCCTTTATATAACAGTCGTAGAATTCGTCGGTTTTTGAGTGCAACATCACAACTGAGCTTCTTCTCTAAAATAGAGTGGATATTATTGGAATATTTGAGTGGAGGATAAATGTTTATAATTTTTGTTTTAGTGTGCCGACCCCGATAGCTTCCGGATTTACATTCAACTGGACAAGCATGAACATTAAAAATCTCAACTACTTATCAATAACAGATACCCCATCGATGAATGTTGGATTCAGATGGCAAGGTCACGTCTTCTGGAATTCGTATGCTCGAGACCTTGATGATGTCGATGTTGGTAACTTGCAAAAAATTGCTCATCTCGAAAGAAAACTTGGTTATTTTCAGGTAATATTAAAAAATTTTTTGTACTTTTTCAACTTTTTTTTTGTACTCAATAAAATAAAGAACTTTTTATAAAACTTATAGCTTCTTACCGGCAACATTTGCGTTTTTTGACTTTGACCGACAGTTGAAACTGTAGAAGTTGTAGTTTTTTAATAGATTACATTTTAATAGATTACATTACGTAAAGATCATTTTTCTGCATTTTTCAGCATTTTATTGTCTCATTTTTCGCTTTTTACCTGTCTATACTTTCTGTTATTTCTTTTGCTTTTTGGAGTTGAAATGAGTGTGAAATAATTATTTTCAGTTGTGTTTAATTTTTTTATTATCGTAAATTCTTACAAAAAATTATATTTAATTAGGATGGAGTTTGGAAATGATTGTTTAGGCTTTTAAACTCTAAATTTTAAATGAATTATTTGGGGCAGGTACTCTATTTTTACGCTTTTCACTTTGACGGCACTGATTTCAATACATTTTGAAAAGATGAA